AGCGTTAACGAAGATTCTTATAACGAAGTCCTGATCGGCTGGATCAGCAACTTCGTTATATCGAGGTGTGACTGTACGTGTAACTTAATTTTGCTTTTTTGACACAACTATAATTTTTTTACTTTATGCATTTTGTGATTAGAAGAATTTTTTTTCCTTGTAAAAATCAATATTAATTAAATAATAAAAAAGTTGACTTGCCTGTATAGTAATATTCTAATATACCACATCTAATAAAATGTTAAAAAAATCTAAAAAAAATTTGTGAAGCAAAAAAAGCTAAGTGTTAGTATACCAGAAGTAACATTGATATTGATAACATATCTGATTTTGAAAGTTATTCTGATGTTAATAATATTTCTTTTCATGATGAGCTGAAAGATTATGATAATATTGAAGATCTCGACAATGATAATATTTCTTTTTATGATGATAATTTTTCCATTTATGATGAGCCAATAGAAAATGATAATATCATAAGCATTGTAAAAAAAACTACAAAAAGTGGCAAAAAAGTATCATCAGAAACATGCTTTTCAAGAAATACATAGATTACATTATATAGGAAATTCAAGCTATACTAAAAGAAAAAAGAATCAGCAACAGCGTGAAGCAGCAAAAGGGACCCTTAAGTTACATACCTTTTGGAATGTTAAGAAATCTACTGAAGAAATTGAAGAATTAGATAATGAGACTAATATAGATATAGATGATAATGCTAATGAACAGTTAGTATTAAATGATAATGCTAATAAACAGTTGGATAATGAGGTTAAGGGTTATAATTGGTATAATAAAATCTTGAATGCTTTCAAAAGTCTAATGTTAGATATTAAAAAATAAAAAACAAATAGTAAGGTTTAGATGCGTTTAAATAGCATTCATCTTTATTTTTAACTTATGAAAAGTAACCATCCAAAAATGCAATTGAGCAAGATTGTTGCAGCAAGAAAAGGAACATACTATGCTAAATGCATTCATTCTTAGATATGTGAATATATAAAGAATCATAAAATTTCTTACTCCCATCGAGAATATCATGCTAAGATATAGAGTTTTCTTTAGGATGAAGATATTCTCCTCTAAGTGAAGTCATTTGTTCGAAAGTATAAGTGGAAAATTACTCTGCAAATATTAATGATACAAATGAATGAGAATATTTTACCAGGGCTCAGATTTACATCATTTCCAATTATTCATATAAATACCGCAAAAAACTATTTAAAAGAGCTTAGTTAGTAAAAAGGGAATGTGCATAAATGGGTATAAAAGAAAAGATGTGGTGGCTTATCAGAAAATATTTTTAGAATGAATAAGTGAACTTGAGCTTAGAATGCCTATTTTTTCAGGAGACAACTTAGAAGAAGTAACCTGACCAAATAATCCACTTATTCTTGTTACGCACGATAAATGCATTTTCTTAGCTTATAATGAAATTCAGAGTCTTTAGATTCCTAATGGAGAATAACCCTTATGAAAAAAGATAACAGTCGCTTGATTTATATTCGTGACTTTTTAACTGATGTTTGTAGCTGTCTTGCAATTTCTGACGAAATACAGGTATCAGGTAATTTTTCCAAAGAGGCCTGTATTATTATGAATCTAGGTAAAAATAATGATGGATGGTGGAAGGCTAAAGATTTGGTAAACTAAGTAGTTGAACGTGCTATTCCCATATTCGAAAAACGTTTTTCAGAATGTCAGACTTTATTTGCATTTGATAATACATCAAGCCATGCTGCTTTTTACCAGATGTACTAATTGCTAAACATATGAATCTTAACCCTGATAGAAAGCAACTGAAGATGTGCAATACATATTTTGATGAGGAAGTTCAACAAGAAATAGTCTTTCCATTAGATTATCATATTTCTAAACTATGTGGACAGCCAAAAGAGTTAAAGCAAGTTCTAACAGAAAGAGAATTATGGCCAAATAGAGGATTGAAATTGGAAGAAGCACGAAAAATTATGAGTCAGCAGCCAGATTTTTTAGCACAAAAGGGACGATTAGAAGAGATTATTATTGCAGCTGGACATCAAATCATATTCTATCTTAAATTTCATTGTGAACTCAATTATATTGAAAACTTTTGAGATGTAGCTAAGAAATTTAATCAGTCAAATTGTGATTACTTGTAGATGGAATTACAAAGGACTGTTCTATTGGCTCTTACTTTTGTTTCACTTACAACTATTCGTTGATATGCAATAAAGGTATTTCACTATATGAATGTATACCGAAAAGGCTTAACAGGTTGAGCAGCAGAATTTGTGATTAAAAAGTATCATTCACATTGTCGGGTTCCTGATTCAGTTTTACAAACAGTTATTATTTAGGCAAAATACACTGGATTATTTATATTAGTTATGGACAAAAAGAAAAGCAAAAAATTAGTAATATGTAAATTTTACGCATATCATTAATAGCAATTAAAATACTTATCTTTTAAAAACTTTCGTTTATTTTTCAATAAAGATAGCAAGAGACGTTAAATCTTTTTTTTAAAAAATTGTGGCTTTTGATCAGTGTACAGAAATAAAAATCAACCAATAAAAAGTAAGAAAATTGATTACATGAGTCACATGAGAGGCGGTCAAAATTTCTGATTTAATAGTAAAATAACTTCACTTTTAAATTGCTACTGCTCCATCGAAAATAGTTTTATCAGAATTTTAAAACATAGTTTTGTTAGGCTTGAGTTACTCTATCATTTTATGATTATATTTTATATTTATCATATTTTTTGAATAAGGAATAGCAATTTGAATTTTATCAAATTTATTGGTTAGGATTAAGTTGTATGCACTGTAGTAATTTAAATTCTAAGGGTAAAAATATTCTTAAACTTCACCTTTTAAAATACAATTTGCATCTAAATAAATTTTCATTACTATTTTAAATTTTGAGCAGTCTTTTCAATATTTTATATCATTAATCAGTCTTTTTGTATTTTCTACTTCAAATGGTAATAATTCTTTTCAACTACACTATTTGGATAATAATTCATCATGTGATTAAGAATCTGTAATTATTAATAAAGTTAGTCAAAATTAAAGATACTTTATTGACTTTATAATAATAAAACTAATAATTTAATAAAAACTAAATGTCTTAAACCACTATTTACTTTAAATTATATTATTTTTGATAATTTATAGCTCTATTTAAATTTTAATAAATCCTTTAATCAACCTTAATTCTCTTATAATATTAATAGAAACTTGTATTTTAGTTTTTTTTAAATTTATTTTTTATTTATTCAGTTGATTAGTGATTATTTATTTTAACAATTTTTTTAGTATTTTTTAATATTTTTAATTTAAAATTTAGAATAATTACTTTGTAGCTAATAAAGATGATCACTGTAATTAAAAAAATAGCATAATTAAATTGCAACTTATAATGCAATTAAATTTCCTTATGGCATAATTAAGTTGCAACTCAATTAAAATTTGAAAATAATTATAGGAACTATCTTTAATAGATAAGTTTTAAGACTTTTTTTTATAAAAATTTAAATAGTTTAGAGAATTATTATTTTAAAAAAGCTGAATATTTTTATAATATGTTTTTTTGTAATATTATTCTTAAAAGACTATAATCTAGTTGAATTTAGCTTCTATTAAATTATATATAGTGCAAATAGTACAAAATCTTATTTTGTTAATCATAGTTAATATTTATTTATAAATAAACTAATAATAATATTTATTTATATTATCAAGTAATAAAATTTTAGCTTAAATTATTATGTATATTTTAAAAATTAAGTTAAAATATAAGGTTTACTATTTTTGTCTAAGTAATATATATTAATTTATTAATTTTAAGTTTAAGAATAATATATTATTTAATAATCACAAAAAAAGTTTGTTAAATTCATCCCGTTAAGATTATTAAATAATAATATATTTTTATTTTTAAAATCAATAAAAATAAAATATATAAATTTAAAATTTTAATTTTTTTTAAAAAATTATTTAATTAATTATTTTTTTTTTTAAATTTTACTTAAAAATATTGTAATTTTATTATAAAAGTATTAAATTTTAGAAAATTTCTTAATATTGGACTGGACTGGATTGGACTGGACATATCATAAAAAATAATCCAGTTCCAGTCCGGTTAATCACGTGATTGGA